ACCATCCCAGGGAGAGCATCTGGAGGAGTCCCGCGCTGCAAGAGATGGGCTCCTGTTGTCCTCAGTGAAACACCAAAGGTTCCACCCAGCACCGCGACCAGCCATCTGCCATCTGTCTTGCTTCTGTCAGGAGACCCTCTGCCACGTTCCCTCTGTCCCTCTGCACATGTCTGTCATCTCAGACCTTGTATTATCCCATATGGCTTTCTTTCCCTTTGCCCATGCCTGTTAGGAAAATTTACCCAAACCATGGATTTGAATGTACAACTTGTTCCTGCTAGCAACCTAACTGATGTCAAGACAATGGTTTCTCAGGACTAGAAGAAACAGATGGCTGGCTAGAGTGGGGTCAGGGAGAATGGGAAGTGATAGAAACATGAGCTTAAGTACTCATGAGGTTCTTTCTTTCTTTCTTTCTTTATTATATATACAATATTCTGTCTGTGTGTATGTCTGCAGACCAGAAGGGGGCACCAGACCTCATTACAGATGGTTGTGAGCCACCATGTGGTTGCCGGGAATTGAACTCAGGACCTTTGGAAGAGCAGGCAGTGCTCTTAACCTCTGAGCCACCTCTCCTGCCCCTTTTTCTTTCTTTCTTTCTTTTCTGGGAGACAAAGCAGAGAAATGAACAAGAAGTTCCAGAGCACCGAAGAAAGATTTTATTTTTCTTTTTTGATAATGTGGTTTGACATTGTGGATCCCAGAGGAAGAGCCTACAGGAAGTCATTCTTTTACCTAAGGGACTGCAGGAAGAGAGACCCTGAGTGGGTCGAAGGCGGTGGCATCCAGCTGCTCACCTACGGTGACGAGGCGGAGCTTGCGCCAGACCTCAGAGGGACACCACTGTGCCATGATGCAGTCAGCTTCCCTTGCTGTTTCTGTTTTCTCTCAGAAAAAAGTGTTAGGACCAGCATCGTCAATGTATTCAGGAAGAGAACTGGAAAACTCACGGGAGGACGAGTGGATTAGAGGAATACAGTCAGTCAGCTGGGCCCTTTTGAGATCTTTGGGTAGGAAATGAAATGAACTCATGAGCAGATTCGCGTCATTTCTCGGCAACCACGTTTTCCTGTCCGCACCCAGGTGTGAGGAGGTAGGCGTGTTTTCGTCAGGCTGGTGTGACAGCGGGGCAAGGACACTAAATACGTGGGCATCCGCGGACAGGGATGGTGAAGCAAGGCCCGCGGAGGAATGGCCAACCCGTTTCCATGACATCACACTCTTCCTTCCCTGTGGTGAAAGGCAATCGTCTGTAGACTGTATTCCCAGGGCTCCCTGTCTCCTGCCTCCAGCTGGATAGGACTGGGAATTAAATGGAAGATGCTGGCTGAAGTCAGAGAGTGGGATATGTCCTTTCCTCCTATGCTTACCTCTTACCTCTTCCTCAGTTCAGTGAGCCCCTCCCCTCCCCTTCAGGCTGTTGGTGGCAATGGCTTACTGAATGCCTTGTTTCTGAACAAGGTTATCTCTTTCTGGTCCCTTAGCCTCCTGGCTACTGTGTGACTAAGCCCTTCACGAAACTCTCTCTGCCCAAGTTGTTTTGTGTGGGTCATCGTTTCCTTGCTGTTTCTCTGATATAGATGGGGGCTAGAGATAAGGTGCGAGGGCCTTCAGCTGGAGGCCCGTGCGAGGTTGAGGAGTTGTTGGGGATCAGCTCTTTGATAGGGGGCATGGCCAGAGATAGGGATGACAGACACGATTGCAGACATTGTTTCCTGACCGTGAGATTGACGAGAGGATTATAGGAGGCGGTAGCTGAGGCAGGTCGAGAGGAGAAAGCAATGGAAGTGGCAGATTAGGCTCTAGGAGACTAATCTCTTGGCACACATTTTAGGTGGCCATTAAGCCATGAAGACTGACCAAAAGAGTGCCGGGCAGTGGTGGCGCACGCCTTTAGTCCCAGCACTCAGGAGGCAGAGGCAGGTGGATGTCTGTGAGTTCGAGGCCAGCCTGGAACAAGAGCTAGGTCCAGGACAGACTTCAAAGCTACAGAGAAACCCTGTCTCGAAAAACAAAAC